CTTGTTATATATTTACTTAGCTTTTTAGTTATTCGTTTATTCATTCCTGTATATCTATAGGTATATGTATATATCGCAGGTTGATAACCTTATATCACTCACTCACTCACTCACTCACTCACTCACTCACTCACTCACTGATACGCAGCTCCGAATCGGGCTGAGCGTTGCTCAACCTGCGAGAAAAACTGCAGCCGTCGCTCTGATTACAGAGCCTGCAAGGGCTGTCACAGAAACTTAAAGAAGAAATTTGATAGACTTATATACTTGCTTGCTCTATATTTTTAGTTATTTAGTTAGTCATTTAGCTATTCGTTTATTCATTCCTATATATATATACATATATATATATATATGTATGTATGTATTGTTTTTGGTTGTATGTACATATGTACATATGTAAATGGGTTTTTGTTTATAAGCTCATATACTTCCTTGCTGGTTATGTACACAAAGTCAAGTACAACAGAAGCATGAGCGAGTAGTCTTCTAGGCACGTAGCCTCCCATGCTAGGGATGATGGTTCGTGTTGAGGGTTGCAAGGCTGTGGGCTTCAGGGCTCGGGACAGTATGCTGAACGGTCGGTTCCACAACCCAATCTCGACTTTAAGCCACATAGGGTTTTAGGGTTTAGAGTTATTAAGGATGTCCAAGCCAAGCATTGAAGTGCACTCCAGGCCATCGAAAGAAAACGGACAACCTCAACAACGCACCCACGGATCACCCAAGCCTCAGGAGGGGCTCGGGCTTTCAGAGTGGCAGGAGCTGTGAACCCTAAACCCTAAACCCTAAACCCTAAACCCTAAACCCTAAACCCTAAACCCCGTTCGGATGGGACTTCGGGGGCTAGAGCCTCTAGAAGCCCCTTCCTCCCACGGCTTCTTCAACTCACCAAGCTCCCTGGAACTGGGCTCCGAACGCCCCAAGCTCACACGAAACCCGAAACCCCACTTGGAAGCTCTTTGCGACTTGAAGAGTTGGGTAAGTTGGGTTCTGGGGATTTTGCCAGGGGATACTAGGTAGCCTTACCAAGTCAAAAGAGCTTCCAAGCCTAAGCTGCTCTTCAAAGGCTCAAGTGGAAGTCCACAGGCTTGACTTTGGCGGCGAGGTTGCTTACCCTCGCGGATCCTTGCATGCTCTGGCTTAGGGTTTAGGGTTGAGGGTTGAGGGTTAGGGGTTAGGGGTTAGGGGTTAGGGGTTAGGGGTTAGGGGTTAGGGGTTGAGGGGTTAGGGTTAAGGTTCGGGTTCTTGTGAGGGGGTGGGGGCCTGACATCCTAAGCCCTCCAGGTTGTACTCTCAGGGGCACGGCTCAGGGCTCGAGGCCTGGATGTACAACGGGTTCAGTCTTCTTATCCTAGAACGACTCTTCAAATCATCCTCTAAACGGGTGGTACCCGAAATATTAGGTGCCATATCATAATATGGAACCAAAAAGGGACCATACAATTTTGACAACCACCCAAACAGAGTCGACCTGGCTTCTGGGCTGAAGGCCTGGTGGAAATTGACAAGGCTGAAGATGCTGGATGCCCAAACCCTCAGGGAAGTGAACCACGAACCTTCGCCGAACCCCTTCCCTGGACCCTGTTAGGGCAGCATGAGATCTCCTTTTGGGATTCGGGCTTTCACTGTAGCGGCTGCCAGGCTTTCGGGGCGGGCTCGCTGGAACTGAAAGCTATGCGAGGGCCCTGGGCCCTTGACGCCCACATAGGCGTTTAGGGTTTCTAGGGTTTAGGAGTTTAGGGTTTAGGGTCCCTAAACCCTAAACCCTTAACACATACAAGCATATAAGGGTCCGAAGCCCTAAAAGCTTGTGCTCCAGGCATCTTTCAGCGCGGGCGGATGCGTCCGACTTGACCTGGGCTTCACCCCCAAGGGGTATAGGGTTTAGGGTATAGGGTTTAGGCTTTAGGGTTTAGGGCTTGGGGTTTAGAGTCCCTAAACCCTAAACCCTAAACCTTAAACCCAACGGTCGCGAGCAAACACTTAGGGCTGAGGTTGCAACTAAAGCCTAAGTCCGAGGTTTTGGGTCCCTTTTCCTGTGAGAGAGTTTTCTTCTTGAACGTTTCGTGACACCTGCGTAGAGTCCAGTTGGCAGTCAGCCCCACACGCTCCCAAGCCCGAATTGGGCCAAGCCTAACCTACTATTTGCTTAAGAAGCCCAAAAGTACCCTTAATAAGGAAGAGTGTTTTTTGTTTTTTTTGTTCTTAAGCAAACTAGTAGTAACTCCTAAACCTGCTGGCCCCCCGCCTAGCTCCACGTTGCAGGGAAGAGTCTGTCCGTATCTTGTGGAAACAGGTCCGCGGGGAATGGGCTTTTTAAGAGGAGCAGAAAATCATCTCCCTGGCAGTGTGTGTGTGTGTGTGCATGTCTATGGCAGGGTGCTAGATTAACAACGCGGAGGCATGCACATGCACACACACACACACACACACACAAAAAAAAAAAAACACAACCTGTCCTGTGAGCATGTACTCCCAAACATTTTATGCCACCGGCCTAGCCGTAGGAGCTAAACTTTTGGTTTACAGGGCCTTAGGGCTTTCTGCACCCCGTCTCTTCGATGGTCACGGGTTGCCTTGCTGTCCTGTCAGTACACCAGTTCATGGCACAAGAAAGATGGTGAATTCGGATAAGCTTTTCCGTACGAGTAGCAGTCAAGATCAGTCTCAACACCCTCAAACCATCCCAACCCTTCTCCGTTCTTTGCGCCAACATGTATGGTAGGACCAGAACATCCGTTTCATCTTGGGATCTCACTAAGGGGAACCTTTGACTTGGTTTAAAGAGATGCAGTTTCCTGACGTTTTGGAGCACGATGCCTTTTGAGCACAGGATCCTGGTCTGAAAAGCAGCCGAACCCTACACCCTACACCCTCAACCCTACACCCTACATCCGAAACCCCAAACCCTAATCCCTAAACCCTAAACCCTAAACCTGGGTGTGGACGTCCAATGGCACCCTTCAGGAGTCCAGAGCCCATTCGTGAGTCAAAGCGGCCGGGCACATCTCTCCTGGCCGCCCACCTGGAAATCTGATCCAGGGCTTAGAGCAGATCAAGATCCACCAGACTCCGATCAACCCTAAACCCTGAACCCTGAACCCTAAACCCTAAACCCTAAACCCTAAACCCTAAACCCTAAACCCTAAACCCTAAACCCTAAACCCTAACTAAACCCTGCAGTTTCATGTTTTTCTTTTGGGGGGGGGGGGGGGGGGGGGGGTGGGCTTGGAGGTTCGTGGGTAGGGATAGGGTTCGACATGCCTATATTATTAAGCTATTTACACAAGTTGCTTACTGCATGAAACGTCAGGGGGATGGATAGGCTCACAGGGCACAGGCCTGTATCAGGAAGGCTTAACTCTGGGTTAAGTTGCGAGGGCCTCTTTTTAATCTCTATCAAAGACTACTCCCAAATCCCTTCTTAGCAACGGAGCTACTATTTTGCTGAAGAGCCCCCCCAAAAAACGATTCTCCCTTGTAAGGGCAATATAGGGATTATTACTCTTTATTGTTGGTGCGGTTCTTAAGCAAATAGTAGTAAGCCCTCTTCCAGGCAGAAAACCACGGCCCCGTCATTTTCAGCCGGCCCCGGCGGTAGCAAACGCCTACTCAGCACAGATAGGCAATCAGCGGCCTGACACCCCACAGGGTTTAGGGTTTAGGGTTTGGGTTTAGGGTTTAGGGTTTAGGGCTTAGGGTTTAGAGTTTAGGGTTTAGGGTTGACATTCGTCAGTTGACGACAAGATTTTCTGACTCCAGGTCGCGAACTCAAACGCCCTTCCACGCCACAAAGCATGCGACCCTGTCAATGCTAAGCCCAAGCCCCCTCGAACCCAGTCGTAGCCCTGGAATATCGGATGAAGATCACCCTTCTTCCTGGACCTGTTTTGCATCCAGGCCTCTGAACAGCATGATAACCCTGATGATTCCCCCGCTCGACGTGCCTCCTCCTGAAGACATAGAGCTGGCCACCGAATCTTCGTCTTCGGACAAGTACAGACGGTTTCCCGAGCCGTCACTCTGGCTCTGGTTCACCTGCAGTGCAAAGTCTCGAGGCTCCAGGATTTGGGGCTCACTTTGAGCAAGACAATAAAACCCAAAACTCTGCACTCCCTCCGTACGCTTCGATACTCTTCATCGGGGGGGCCATGTTTGGGGAAGGGATGAAGCCCGAAAGAACTTAGGCCAAGCCTACGCCGTCCAGCCTTCTCAGCGATGAAGTCAATTTTCCGTGGTGTAGAGCGGTCTGGTGGGGCAGCGCCCAAGCCGCCCTCACAACAAGGCAAGGTCTCAGGGGTTTAGGGGCTTAGGGGTTTAGGGGTTTTGGGGCTCAGGGGTTCAGGGGTGCAGGGGTTCAGGGGTTCAGGGGTTTAGGGTTTAGGGTTTAGGGTTTAGGGTTTGGGGTTTAGGGTTTGGGGCCACCAGCGCGTCTCCATCAGCATTCGATGAGCATCAGACGGCACGAGATGCGACAAGATGACCAGGCGAGCAGGGTTCAGCAAGAGGCACACCAGCCAACATCGCCCAGCCACGCCACAACCCTGCAAAACTCAGCAACCCTGCACCAAGCAACATTCAGGCTGCACTGCGCCCAGGGATTTGCCGGTACCGGGTCGAACACGTCCTGCAACAAAGGAACTTCGGGCTGAGGCTCTTTGCCACTTTGCCTTGCTACGCCACTTTGCCTTGCCGGCTGCCGGTAGGGCATCAGGGAATTGGGTACCGTGTTATGACCCATAGAGAACTAGTAATTGTGTGTGTTGCTGGTGGTACTTGCTTTCTTGACTGCTTCGAGGTTGGAGTTCTGCATTCTTCAGGAATAGAAATGAGTATGGTGCTAAAGCAGGGGTCCCCACAAGAGACCATGGAACCAGGCGAGTAGAACCGAAGGCGACGATACACGCAGACTCCTGTCATCTCCTCCCTTTCGAAATCTTCACCGCCCATCACCATCACTTAGTCCAAAGATCCTAGACTTCGACACTCTAGATCGATCACCGACTCTCCACCCCACCCTCCTCTCCACTGCTCTGCGCATCGCTTCGTTTCTGCAGCACAGAACGTCCGGCTCCCTCCACAATCCCTGAACCTTGGCGCCCCTCCCCTAAACCCTAAACCCTAAACCCTAAACCCTAAACCCTAAACCCTAAACCCTAAACCCTAAACCCTTCGAGTTTCTTCAACCCTCAAACCCCCCACACATATCCGCTCCGGGAGTGTCGGCTGCGACGCCCGAGGCATTAGCCCCAAATTTCGCCAGCGCCCTGAGCCACAGAGGACGTGACCAGGGTTTAGGGTTTAGGGTTTAGGGTTTAGGGTTTAGGGTTTAGGGTTTAGGGTTTAGGGTTTAGGGTTTAGGGTTTAGGGTTTAGGGTTTAGGGCAGTGTCCTACAGAGCATACTAAGTCTGGATGTGGAGCTATGTACATAATTTTCATATTTTTTAAACCAAGCCCCTTGAGCTTTTGAAGCTTCCTTCTTTGAACTGTCCATCAATGCCTTCCGCATCTCCCCGTACGTCCACGGCCAAGGTGTAATTGTCCGAGGGCGCAGTCCTGGACACAACCCAGTTCATGGCCCCTTGTCCCTGAAGGTTCCAGCAGCATGCAAGATGCACACGCGCAACCGAGCCACAAAACGGATACACATGCCACACGTGATGGCGCTTTTACACGCCTCGTTTGGCCTCTATCGGTCACACATCCCACACTTCTCGCTCAAACCCTGATTTACGAACCTATGGCTCTGAACCCCAGGCCTAGGAAAGCTTAGGAAGCGTCCTGCCCCTGCTGGCTGCTGGCTTGGCTTCCAGGTGCAACTCAGGCTTGGCCCCGGATACCGAACCGAACTTCGCACCCCTGACAGAACCAGAAACCTCAGACCGCGCAGCCTGTCGTCAAAGTCGCCCCGCAGCGCATCTTCCCAGGCCGCACGATGAACCTGAGACGCATCAAGGCAGAATCCTGCAAGCCCGGAACGAGTCCTCCGAGCCCAACTCAATGAGGTGGCAGGAGGGCGGTGGCCGGCCATATCCGAAGCCGGAAAAATTCGATGCAGCAGCAGCAGCAGCAGCAGCAGCAGCAGCAGCCGCGAAGGTGGCGGCGGCGGCAGCAAAGCAGCAGAAGCAGCGGCAGCGGCAGCTCAAGCAACACAACCTGCCCTGTACTGCCGGTACAGCGACATCAACCCCCAACCTGCGCCCAAGACGTTCTGAAATTCCTTGAGCACTTTGACCGACGAAGGAAGACCACTGACATCCCAGGAGCTTGCGCAAGCCGAGAAAGCTCCGCCTGTTGCCTGGCCATGCATGGATGGGGCTTGAAGCTTTTGAGTTCTGTCCCGACTTAGAAGTGCCCATGAACCTCCAAGTGGTAGGCACTGTACAGCCACATGCTTAGGCCATATAAGTCTCCTCACAACCTAGTTAGAGGACTTTGGGGCCCATAAGTACCGCTCAAATCGGGGTATAGGTGCGCATGAACCGCCAAACCCTCAACCCTAAACCCTCTACACCCTAAATCCTAACCCTAAACCCCCAGCCATGAACTTCCAAGTATGGTCAAACGATCTGAGAGAATCCAAGCTGCTGGGCCGCTATGCGGGCCAGCCTCTCCGGAAAAGGCGGCGGCAGGGCCTTGCACGTTCAGGGTTCAGGGTTTAGGGGTTAGGGATTGTGGTTTTTCCGCTCCCGCATAGCTGGCCGAACCGCAGGCAGGGTTGGGGATTAGGGATGAGGGATTAGGGATTAGGGTTTTGGGTTGAGGGTTTAGGGTTGAGGGTTCAGGGTTTAGGGTTTAGGGCTTAGGGTGTAGGGTGTAGGGTTTAGGGTTTAGGGTTTAGGAACTGTCAGAAGCCCATGCATGTGCACGTCACTGCTGATGCTGTCAAGCACGACTTCTCAAAAGGCCCCTCAACTGGCTGATCCCAGCCATTCCCCTCTTCCCTACGAATACAGACTTCTGACTCGTTGAGGGGTTCGGGTGACATCTTGAGCTTGGACTAGACACCATCTCACCCTCAAGCTCAAAGAAGCTTGTTTAGGGTTGGGTTTAGGGTTTAGGGTTTAGTGTTTAGGGTTTAGGGTTTAGGGTGGCCCTGGGGCGCATTTTCCCTAAACCCGAAGACCTTTGTGCAACTAAGCTCTTGCTCCAACTAAAGCTCCTCAAAAACTGATGCGCCAACTGAGACCCCTCAAACTGATGCTCCAAACTAAAACTCTTGAAACTGATGCTTCAACTGAAACTCCTCAACTGATTCTCCAACTGAGTCCCTTGTTTAAACTGATGCTTGAGCTGCAGCCCCTCCAAACTGATGCTCCAATTGGCCCCTCAAACTGATGTTCCAGCTGAAGCTCCTCAAACTGATGCTCCAACTTTCTAGAGGCGAATGTACTTATGAGATCAAGCCTGGTTTGTGTAAGTCCTGAATTTGTGATGTAACATAGGCAAACTTCCAAATCATGATCTCCAATATAAAACTTACCAACCCAAACCCTAAGCCCTTTTTGCATCTGGGCTCGCAATGACAGCCCGAACACCGGCTAAACCCTAAACCCTAAACCCTAAACCTTAAACCCTAAACCCTAAACCCTAAACCCTTTGAACCCAAGCCGGTGGCCGGGCCTCCATGGCCTCGGACGCCGCACGGAGGGGCGTGGGCCCACGCGGAGCCCCCCCAACAAAAAACCTTTAGAGGGCCCTTACAGGGCGCCTTTGTAGGGGTTTAGGGTTTAGGGTTTAGGGTTTAGGGTTTAGGGTTTCGGGTTTAGGGTTTAGGGTTTAGGGTTTAGGGGTTAGGGTTATTGCTTAGGGTTTAGGGTTCTCAGAGTCGTTTGTAGGGGCTCTGTAGGGCCGTTTTTCGGGCCCTTAGACTGGCCTTGAGAAGCGCATGTGGGTCCCGGGGCCGAGCTCGGCTCAAGCCACCCGGAGCCCTAAAGCCCTACACCCTCACAACCCACACACCCAGCCCCTCTTAGCATCTGCTGGCTTCTGGTTCTGTGCTGGCCATTTGAGTTTGAGCCCTTGGACCAACTGCGGAGGTGCGCCAGGTGGAGAAGGCCCCTGCCTTTCGGTTCAGCAGCCTCACACCACACCTTTAGGGATCTTGTGGGATGCAACGAACCACAGGAGAATTGAACGCTTCGGGTTTAGGGTGTGGGGTATACCCCCCACATTGCAGGCTCTTGCTTTGAGCCTAAATCCACGCTGCACCCTAAAAGCAAGAGCAGTTGCCCCCCTTTTGATCTGCGAGCTGAAACGAAGTTGGTAGAAGCTCGGAGACATGGCTAAGGTCGTGCTGCTTCACCTTCCATGGCCCGCAGCCAGAAGACTCCAGAATCGCGAGGCCTGAACCCTAAACCCTAAACCCCAAACCCTAAACCCTAAACCCTAACCCTAACCCCTACACCCTAAACCCAAAACTCCAAACCCAACAACAACCCCATCAGACAACGGAAGATCTGCACGTCTGCTTGAGCATCTGCCACGATGGGGTTTCTAGCATGGCCCTTAAGACCCTCTCAAAAACATTCCGATATATGATCCTCTTAAACCCTTTAAGGGCCGTATATATATATATATGTATATATGTACACATATATATGGTACCCCCCCCCCCTAGTACCTAGGTCTCATTTTCTTCCCTGTCTCAGATACCGGCCTCAGATGACTTGCCTCTTGGAGGGTTTAGGGTTTAGGAGTGAAAGTGCCGTACTGTCCCTAAAAAACCAATCCCAGAAGCCGGAAATGCTGTACTGTCCCCTAAAAACCTAAATAACCAATTCTGCTGGCCTATACAGACAGGCTCTCTGCCAAAGATTGTTTTTTTAGGGCAGGTGCTGAAAGTGCTGTACTGTCCCTAACAAACCAATCCCAGAAGCCCAAAATGCCGTACTGGTGACCTATACAGACAGGCACTCTTCCAAAGATTGGTTTTTAGGGACAGTGCGGCACTTCGAAGGCATCAGGTGCAGCAAGTGCTGTACTGTCCCTAAAAAACCAATCCCAGAAGCAGAAAGTGCCGTACTGTCCCTAAAAAACCTAAAAAACCAATTCTGGTGGCCTATACAGACAGGCCCTCTTCCAAAGATTGGTTTTTCAGGGACAGTACGGCACTTTGAAGGCCTGAGGTGCTGAAAGTGCTGTACTGTCCCTAAAAAACCAATCCCAGAAGCAGAAAGTGCCGTACTGTCCCTAAAAAACCTAAAAAACCAATTCTGGTGGCCTATACAGACAGGCCCTCTTCCAAAGATTGGCTTTTTAGGGACAGCACGGCACTTTGAAGGCCTGAGATGCTGAAAGTGCTGTACTGTCCCTAAAAAACCAATCTTTTCGTGAGGGTCTACCTGTATAGGCCTCCAGAATTGGTTTTTTACGTTTTTTAGGGACAGTACAGCACTTTCTGCTTCTGGGATTGGTTTTTTTGGGACAGTACGGCACTTTGAAGGCCTGAGGTGCTGAAAGTGCTGTACTGTCCCTAAAAAACCAATCTTTGGAAGAGTGCCTGGCTCTATAGGCTACCAGAATTGGTTTTTTAGGTTTTTTAGGGACAGTACGGCACGTTCTGCTTCTGGGATTGGTTTTTTAGGGACAGTGCGGCACTTTGAAGGCCTGAGGTGCTGAAAGTGCTGTACTGTCCCTAAAAAACAAATCTTTTCGTGAGGGTCTACCTGTATAGGCCTCCAGAATTGGTTTTTTAGGTTTTTTAGGGACAGTACGGCACTTTATGTTTATGGGATTGGTTTTTTAGGGACAGTACAGCACTTTGAGGGTCTGAGATGCTGAAAGTGCTGTGCTGTCCCTAAAAACCAATCTTTTGAAGAGGGGCTGCCTGTACAGGTCCCCAGAATTGTTTTTTTAGGTTTTTAGGGACAGTACAGCGTTTTCCGCTTCTGGGATTGCTTTTTTAGGGACAGCACAGCACTTTCAGCCCTTCAGATCCCCAAAGTGCTGTACTGTCCCTAAAAAACCAATCTTTTCGTGACAGCCTGCCTTGTATAGGCCTCCAGAATTGGTTTTTGGTTGTTCAGAGAGCACAGTGCAGCAGCAATAAAGCTAATTCAACTATTTGTTAAAAACTGTGATGTAAGTAACATTTTATCTAATCGATGTAATGCCTAAATGACGCGACGAGGTCAAGTTTCCTGATAAGTAGGCTTTAATTAATCTAATTTGCTTTACAGCTGTCATTCATTTAGTCTGGTTGAGGTTGAAGTAAAAAATGGATAGACATTTAGTTAGTTGAATGCTATCTACCTCTTAGAATAAGAAACTAAATGTAGTTTTTTCTTGGGAAGGCCTATTAAAGCATTCTTTGAAAGTAATTAATCTAGTCAAGCTGAACCAATTGAATTGTTGTTAAGGATCGTGGCTTGTTTAATTTAAATTCTCGAATTCGTTTAGTTAAGGGTATACTAATTAGTTTCATTCATTTGCTTCACCTTTAAGTAAACTAAATCCACAATTTAAATGATTTTGACTACATTAATATCAGCAAACAAAAGGCCGTAGTTACTGTTCTTAGTAAGTTTAGTTCATTGAATTCCTTTCGTTATTTATTGGTCTACGAACTCAATTTATTTACTTAACCCTTCAGAAGACTAATCAAACTGTTGGAAAGACTTTACGTATGTCATTTTCCAGAAACCAAAAACTTTAGTTAAATTAAGTACTGTGCTTGTTCACGAAAAGAAGAAGGAACATGTTTTAGCTCATTCAATGAATGCTTAAGTGAAGCCATTAGGTCAGGTTCCCTATTACGCATTATGTTTTAATTAATGTAGTGTATGAACAAGTTTAATTAAAGGCCTGTCTTTTCTAGCACAGAAGCAAAAACACCTTCAGAAGACTAATCAAACTGTTGGAAAGACTGTACGTATGTTATTTTCCAGAAACCAAAAACTTTAGTTAAATTAAGTACTGTGCTTGTTCACGAAAAGAAGACGGAACATGTTTTAGCTCATTCAATGAATGCTTAAGTGAAGCCACTAGGTCAGGTTGCCTATTACGCATTATGTTTTAATTAATGTAGTGTATAAACAAGTTTAATTACAGGCCTGTCTTTTCTAGCACAGAAGCAAAAACACGTGTAACATGATTCCGTCGCACGCTGTGTTGCACTACTTGCTGCGTCTGTCGCCTATGTGTTGGGCAGTATCCTCCATTCCGTTCATGCGATTCAAAAAAACACGTTTTTTAGTAAATCCTACGAAAAAAATACTCTTTTAAGTAAAACCTAGGCGCTACGGGGGGGGGGGTAGCATATATATATATATATATATATATTTTTTTTTGATTATTCCGAAATATGATCCTCTTAAACCGATGATAAGGGAAAATACATAAAGTGTCCCAAGGGCCTACCTAGGTTCGAAATGGGCCTGACCTGGCCCGGAACTTTGCATCAAACACGTGGTGGAGGGGTCGACCCATTTTGGGTAGATCCCACGCCGCCTCTGCTTGGAGGTTCACGGGTACTTATCCTAAGTAGGTTACAAGTAGACTTAGAAGTGGAGTTATGTGTACCCTTGAACCTCCAAGTAGACTCTATCCGCAACTTCCGACACTGCTCTGGCAAGAGCCCAAACACGCGGGTGAGCTTTGGAAATGTGATGTTTGCCTTGATCTTTTGAAAGCGTAACTGACCTTTAAGGTTCTTTGGGTCTTCAGGGGGTTACCAAAACATCTGAACACGATTGTTCGGAACTCAGACTTTACTGTACTGCTTTTCAGCCCCTGTGGTACCCGAGCACCGGCGGCATCTCAGCCCATGTCAAACATGTCAATGTTCTTGTAGCTCTTACTGGGGTTTAGGGTTTAGGGCTTAGGGGTTAGGGTTTAGGGTTGTTGCGCAGGTTGCCCTAAACCCTAAACCCTAAACCCGAAACCGTCCAGGTTTGCAGTTCAGGCTCCCATCTCTCAACAGCGCGTGTGGACTGGAGATCGCGGTTCACGTGGAACGGACTTCCTCGAAGTCACGTCGAGACTTCGAGGGCCCTCCAAAAAAACCCAGGAGGCCATGGGGTCTAGGGTTTAGGGTTTAGGACCCTAAACCCTAAACACCAAACCCTAAACCCTAAACCCTAAAGCTTAGGGTTTGGGGTATGGGGTTTGGGGTTTAGGGATTAGGGTTTAGGTTTAGGGTTCAGGGATCAGGGTTTGAGTGTTTTGAGCCGGCACCCCCTTACAAACCGTCCTGATGCCCAGGAATTCGATTAAGTTACCATGACAGGGCTCTTTGCCTATGGTAGATTTTTCTTTGCCTCCGGATCACGGCAACTTACTTCCGCTTTCTTTCACCAGCCTAACAGGAAAGTCTGCTACAGGACGCTCCAGAGGCTTCCTTATGCGGACCCTCCACCCCTGAGGAAGCCAGCAGGGGGCTTTTCGAGATGGCACCCCCGGGCGCCATGCCCGGAACGGCACGCAAAGACGGAACCCAATGCCTTGCAAGTTACCGGGTGTTCCTTCAAGAAGTTCATGATAGCAGTCTTACTGGCAGTTGCAGGCTTTTCTGCACACTGAGGGGCATTGGGCTGTCCGAGCTCCTTTTTGACACCACAGACGCAAGAGGACCAAATGCACCAGCTTCGGCAAAAAGGGGCCCCGCGAAACCCCACACAGGCCCAGGGCCAGTAAACCCTTAAACCCTACCCCCTAAACCCTACACCCGAAACCCTAAACCCTAAACCCTAAACCCTAAACCCGAAAAACTCTGAGCCTTCGGGCCTAGGCTCGGCCCCTGAGACCACAGACCCTGAAGGACTCAGAAGGTTTTGGGTATTTGGGAGCTTCTTCGAGTCAGGTCGGCTACCTAGAAGCTTGTGGTTGAACAATCGATTTGGTCGCTGAACGTCTTGGGTGCTGAGCTGCATGCTACCCGCCCACGAGAGGGGGATCTCTACCACTCGCGACTCAAGTTGCTACGTCAGCGGGTGAAAGCTTGCCGTGTGCCTGGGCATCAAAGCAGAGATGGACAACCTCTGAAAAGGCATATGGATCAGCTGCATACACGACTGCAAGAAGTCCGGTCAACCCTAAACCCTAAACTTAAACCCTAAACCCTAACCCTAAACCCCTAACCCCTAACCCCTAACCCCTAACCCCTAACCCCTAAACCCTAAACCCTAAACCTGACCAACCCACCAGACAGCCCTGAACCATTCGGCCTGACAAACCTGAACCATTCGGTCCGAACCTTAGATTCCAAGAACAGCTTATCTGCAGAATCTTCTAATGTGCACTCGGGTGGTGTCTTTGGGGTTTTAGGTGTGGGTTTCCAGGTCTTGGGTTTGGGGCATGGGATAGGGTTTAGGTTGGGATGTTCCCCCTTATAGTACCCCCTGTTATAATCCCCATTAAAGGACTGCTAGAATAAGGGGGGAACATCCCAAAGCGCACCCAAAAAGGTTCATGATTTGGGGGAATCCCCCCCATGAACATGAGCCATGGGCATGCTGAACCCTAAACCCTAAACCCTAAACCCTAAACCCTAAACCCTAAACCCTAAACCCTAAACCCTAAACCCTAAACCCTAAACCGTTGTCACGTCGGCGCGCTCATCACTGGAGCATGAAATACTCGGGTGGTTTTGCTCTTTGGCAAGCCGGGGGCCTGACAAAAACTATAGATTTCTTCGCACCACGGGCCCCCCCCCCCCCCCCCCGCCCAAAAAAAAATATTATATATATGTATGTATATATATATACATATACATATATATATATATATATACGTAATAATACTATATATATATATAAACCCCACGCCAAACACTCTAAAGCGCTTGACCCTGGGCGTCTTTCTGGCTGCGGCCCGCGCTGCCCTGCAAATTGAAAGACCTGCAGGGCAAGCATCGCTGATGAGGAGAGGGTTCTGAATTTGCGGCTGGGCCCTAAACCCTGAACCCTAAACCCTAAACCCTAAAACCCTGGCTGAGAAACCAGGTTCGATGCTTTGTGGCATTTTGGGGGCAAATCCCTGTAAAAACTCGGCGACACCCTGGATTCCGGCTGTCGAAGCTGAATCGCGATCTGTTTCCACGCTCAAGCTATAGACGAAGTCAGCTCCTGCATCCCGACTCTCAGACCCTAAACCCTAAACCCTAAACCCTTCGACCACAGTAGCTTAAAAACGTCGCTTAGCTGAGCCTTTAGGCCGTTCGCGCGCTTCAACTCGGCATGCTGGCGGCCTGGTGTGGATCGGCGTGGGCTTTCAGACTTGGGGCTTCGCAATCACTACTCTTGGCTTAAGAACCGCCCAAGAAAATGAATAATCCCTATGTTACCCTTATAAATGGAGAACATGTTTCTTTTGTTTGGGTGGTTCTAAACCCTAAACCCTAAACCCCAAACCCTAAACCCTCAACCCTAAACTCTAATGAGGGCTTAGGCATGTTGAGGGCTTGGGGAGGCTGTGGGGCACCTCGGGCGCCTCCAACCTTCTGCCAAGCCGACAGCAAAGCAAGAGGGTTTAGGGTTTATCTAGGGGTTTCGGGGTTTAGTAGTTTGGGGTTTAGTAGTTTAGGGTTTAGGGTTTCGGGTTCTGGGTTTTGGGTTAAGGGTTAAGGGTTAAGGGTTAAGGGTTTAGGGTTTAGGGTTTAGGGTTTAGGGATTAGGGGGTAGCACGCCGGTAAGTAGCCAAGACGAAAAAAGCTGCAAGCTCGTGATCTGGTCCCTCGTGATCCCTGATTGCCTCATTGCCTACACCCTAAACCCTAAACCCTTAAACCCTAAACCCTAAACCCTAAACCCTAAACTCTGAGTTCAAGCCAGGAGTCTTGGCCGCGGCTGCTTGATGACATTTGCTCTCTGCAAGGATTTCACCTGGAATGGCAGGCTCTGCGTCTATCGCAACAGCCGGGAGACACCTGTGGAATCCGGACACGCTTCAACCCTAGCAACGACTCTAGGGGCCTTAATAGTGAGAATAAGGGCGTTGGGGGAGATAACTCCAGTACACTTATGTAGGGACTCTTGAGGGGACACTATGAGAAATTCTTCCGACCCAACTACCAGGCATATGCAGAGAAGACCCTAAACCCTAAACCCTAAACCCTAAACCCTAAACCCTTGAAAGGCCAAGTGGCGAGCTTGACGACTTTGCGGTCCAACTGCCGCAGGTCGGCATGCATCTGGATCTGGTCCTAAGCTTACTTCTCCCATAACCAAGGGAGAAAAAAAAGAGGATAAGCTCTATTCTTCCTGCTAAATGAGGAAACCCAAAAAGTTTGAAGTTCAGCTGTTGGAGACGTGAGTAAGAGAGGGTGGGTGAATCTTGCTCTGCAAAAAACGACTCTAAGGTCAAGGAGCCGAAGCTCCACATCCTTGATGAGGTCTGGTCTTTCCGTCTAACCCTAAACCCTAAACCCTAAACCCTAAAACCTAAACCCTAAACCCTAGATATCCAACCTGAAGAACCAGCAATTCCTTGATGTTGCTTGTTCCAAACTCGAAGCCAGGCATCGATGGCTCTGGCCCCACCCTTACAGCGAAGGATTCCGTCTATGAACTCTTCACGAGTCACCTGCTCAGGGCGCCACTACAAAAGCACAGAAGCCTGCTGCTGTCGGCCAACTAATGGGAGCGCAGCCTCGCGGACTTAGGGCTGAAGCTCCTCATGTTATGATTGTGGTCTTCGGGTAGTTCCAGTAGTCCCTTCGCATGGGCCCTTAAATGGGGACCCCAGGGCCCATACTTCGGAACTCCTGAAAGAAGGTACAGGGACCGCAGTCAGGTACCATGAAGCTACCCTTAGATGTGGGCGAGTGGTCTTCTGGCCTAGGGCTCAGGGCTCCGTGGGGCTTAGGACTGTGCTTCGCGTCGCCCTCAGCAGCCGCGGCATGTGATTCCGAGCATTTCTTCGGTTTCTCCTTGTGCGCCGCCCTCAGAAGTAGGAGCTGGCAGGGTTGAAGATGTTACAATACATGCTGGCGGGGGATTGCCCAGGGGCTTAGGACTTGGGGTGCTGGTTCCGGCCCTCACTTCAGGGCATGTGGGGGCATCCAGCAAGTTAGGAGTCCACCGTGTGTGAAGTTTAGGTTCCACCCGTCCAGCCATACTCCAAAGTTTAGGTTTTAGGGTCTTGCAGACGTTTGCGAAGGAAGCAGGGCAGTAGGTTCACGGACTGGGCCTTCTGCCGAACAAGACATCGGTCAAGAGCACCGCTTGAAAGACCCTGAACCCTAAACCCTAAACCCTAAACCCTAAACCCTAGGCCGCTAAACCCTTAACCCCTCGACCCTGAACCGGCGACCCCGAAACCCTAAGCCCACCTCGCCTCGCCATCACCTTGGCTCGAACGCATCTCCCGATTGGAGGGGCCGAGGGAGTAAACCCTAAGACCCTGAAACCGTAAAACCATGAGTTTAGGCTTCAGGGTTCAGGGTTTTGCTCTCGGGGTTTAGGGTTTAGGGCTTCCGTAACGCCTGAAACCTTGAAACCCTAAAACTGCACAAGCACAGAAAAAATTTCGGGGGGAAGGACTCCCCTCTTGCTGGAAAAGTTTGAGGCCCAAGTTTTTAGGTCGTTGCATCTTGGTGTTAAGTCGTCTTGGGTTCTTTTGCGTGGTCTGGGGCTTAAAGCCCTAAAGCCTGCCGACCCTAAACCCATTTAGGGGTTTACGCAAATAGGGGGCCCCCCCAAAAAAATAGTAAGGACCCCAATAAGGTACCCCAATATCGTAAACCTCCATTTAGGGGGTGTGGGGCTCCGGGATTGGGGCAACGCCTCAGCAGGGCCTGAGCCCCCAAAAGCCCGAGCGGCCATTATCCAAGATGTGGAACAAAGCCCTGCTCTCATGCACATCCAGCTCCAGCGTTTGAAAATAGGCTGCGACCTGGCCGCTTCTTACATTGAGTTGAAAGGTGCAGAGTGAGGCGTTTACTTTGAAAATTGGCAGGGCGATTCACCGTGCCCACTTGCTGCTGCTCTAAATCGTCCTCAGGGCTCTGGCCTTAATTGGGCTCTACGAGCTCGCTACCCCCAAAATGCCACTTCTGACTACTTGCCTCCTAGCTGCGCGAATCGCATTGGGCATTGGGGGGAGGACATCGCCCGCCTTAACAGCACAATCGACCCCAAAGAACCCTGGGCCTTCGGATTGCTGAGGATCTCCGTCAGCCTGATGCGGCTAGGCTATCTATTTTAAGTATGTGATAAACCCTAAACCCTAAACCCCTAAACCCTTATAAACCCTATATGAATGTTAACTACCTCATGTATGACTATACACATCCCTCAGGGTCTACGGAGAACTCTGACATGGCTTGCCAAGATGAAGAACAGTGTGCTGTGCAAATATCCAGGCGCTCTAGAGAGAAGGCTGTCTGACAAATGGTCTCGCCGGCTAGGAGTACTGCTTACTACTTGCTGCTTACTGCTTGCTACTTACTACTTGCTACTTACTACTTACTACTTACTCCTTACTACCTACTACGTACTACGTACTACTTACTACTTACTACTTACTGCTTACTGCTTACTGCTTACTGCCTACTGCCTACTGCCTACTGCCTACTGCCTACTGCCTACTGCTTACTGCCTACTGCCTACTGCCTACTGCCTACTGCGTACTGCTTACTGCTTACTGCTTACTGCTTACTGCTTACTGCTACGAGGACGAGGACGATCACTATACCCAAAAAGGCAATGCTAAAAGGCAATGCTGAAGGTGCAAGCAGCAACCGGCATAGCGCCCTAGACAAACTGGCTGCCACAAATCCGGCAACCCTGAGCCATGCAGACCCTAACTTCATCCGCACAAAAACTTCAGCCTCAGGATGTCTAAGGACTGGTCAAGTCATGTGCCGGAATGGGAACTCGAGAGCTGAAGGTGTTGCTAAGGTAGACCCTAGGTGTTGGGATACTCCCCCTTATACTAACAACCCTTACTGGTGATTATTGTAGGAGGTACTCGAATCCCTATGAAGGACTGCTAGTATCAGGGGGGAACATCCCAGCCCATGCGCCGAAGATGGTTTGATGGAGGGCCTCTCTTCGGAGATCATGCCGTCTCCCGACTTGTCGATCGCTTGGAACACGGCTTCCAGCTTCCCAACATACTCGGCCTCTGAAGGCTCAGAGGTTTAACCTCAAACTTTCTGAGCCAAAACCCCTGAACGAACAAAAGAGTGGCCAAGCTTATGAGCCGGGCAGGACCTAGCCCTTGAACCCCTTGTGCAGCCAGGCTTGTGTGACGGCCGGGTACGCTAACCTGAAGTGGTCTCGACTCCCACGCTCCACGCAAGGCTTCTGAAGGTCTCGGCTTGAAGCCAGTCTGAACACACCCAAACCTGTCTAAACCAAACCTGAAGCGCTTTAGGGTTTAAAGTTGAAAGGGCAAGGGTCTGGAGTTAGGGGACAGGGTGATGCAAAAGTTTGCTGGGAAGGTACCAGCGTGTGGCTGCAATTGCACTGCGGGACAAGGCGCAGATTAGCCTTTAGGCCTCGAAACCCGGAATCTTAAACCCTGAACCCCTGGAATTTCAGCTATCTTGCATCCACACACAAGCCCGCTCAGGGTTGTTTAAGGTTGCAAGCGAACAGGGATTTGCAGCCCCTCCGTTGGGCCTAACTAAGCCCATCCTTGACCCCCACCTTCTTCCGCATCTTGTCCAGTATCAGATTCTCAGCATCGTTGTGGGCAGCATCGAGCGTGTCCTTCAAAAAGATCGCAGTAATGACCTTGGCGCCAACTAGCCGTAGCTTTCGCATGCACGGGTCGTGGTGGTGGTGGTGCTGGCGAAGAGCAAAGCGAGCACGACGAGCCCCCACACGATGCCACAACGGACCCGGAGCATTTACGGGTCTAGGGTTTGGCATTGGGTGGCCTGTTCTGGCGCTAGCACCTTGGTGATATTCCACTTGCCTTACAGTTGACATCTCAACTCTCATCTCAACCCTACCTCCAACCTACCTCGAAGAGATGTTCGAGAAACTGAGGATGAGAACCTTGCACCAGATTTAAAAAACGACTGCCAGGAAGATGCACAAAGACGTCTATGAATCTATGAAAGCACAAGCAATCATAATGACGCCAAAAGAACTCGGAGCTAATGCAGTGTACACAGGGTTCACAAATGGAAGCCACCCAGGCTGGAATGGAACACACCTGCTTTGGAAGGATTCGTCCCACGAAGCTCAAAATAGAATAAGCTCCAGGTTCAACCACTTACCCTAAACCCTAAACCCTAAACCCTAAACCCTAAACCCATCTTGCTTTCAAGAGGCTCTTATGACAGCGAACACAATGACCGTCACGTACAGGAGAAAGAAAATCACCTGAGGGCGTGATCTCTGAACCACACACCATGTCAAAATGTAGGTACGAGAAGTGTCTAAATCTTGATCTCATCACAGTGGGACCCAGGTATCCATAGCTTCAGAGCGAACAACTTTTGTGAGCCTCATCTGCAATTACAAACCTATTTTTCTGCTCAATGCCAGGGACTGCTCTGCCAGCGCCATCCATGCACGCTAAGTGCGAAAAGCACGTATGCACGGCTTGCCCAAGAAAACTTGTTCCGCTGCTGTGCAGATGTTGGAGCGCACTTTCCTGTGCGCCGGACTGCGCCGTCAAAAGTGAGGCCCATTCAACAACCTTGTCAACGGCCAATAAAACCACACATATACCACAAAACGAACTAGCAGCACAGATGGCTGGATACAGCCTCGCGCGCTACTCGCAAAGCGCCCCTATGGAATTGCCAAACTGAAACTTCCATGGCCAGAAACCCGACCTAAGTGCGGTCCACGGCTTGGACAGCTCCTTCCGAATGCGCCTACAGAGCCCACAGCACCAAAAAGCGACTGAGGCAAGATGCATAGGCATGGCTCACCTTCTCCAGCACAGGTCGCACGTTAGTGGGCCAGTTTCCTTCGAGGCTTCGCCGGATCCATTTCGGGCTTCCGGGTAAAAGTGAAAACGAGATTTCCAAAATATAACACTGGCAAGATCCAGACAGCAATTGGCATTTGGTGTCTTAGAAACTATGACATGCATTCTATGGGAACTCGAAAAGAACCAAAACATTCACAATGAATCAATATCAACTACTCCAAAAAAATCTCCACCTGAACCTACCCCAACCCTTAACGCAATTGTTAAGTTAATGTTTACACCTTGGGGCACCCTTGTGGCAGGAGTACACATTCTTATTCTCCTTACGCAAAGGCCGGCAGCTTGTAAGCATTGGATTGTAGGGTTTAGGCTTTAGAGTTTAGGGTTATTTTTTCTGAAGACTAGGCGAGGAGAGAACCTCAGTGAAAGCCGGACATCGTGCCAGGACCAGGACCGCGGGCAGGTAGGCGGAAAGCGACTGATGACGCGGAGGCCAAGCCTCCCAGCATGACTGACAGACCCAGCCGTCGACCTTAGTGGAAGCTCTGTGGAGTACTTCCACGCAACCACAAGGGATCCTATCACTCGCTCAGCACGAGCACTGAGTCTTGCCCAAGCACGGTAAATGGTGCTGCTGACGGCGAGAGGTCTGACTTCATCCAAAGGAGGGCACGTCTGGGTGCCTTTGGGGATAAAAACCATCTTCCATTGAACCAAGCTTTCGGGCCAAGAGCCACAGGCTTCACAATCGTTGAGGAAGCGGACCAGCTGAGAGAGCCCGTCTTCAGGGAGGCAACAGAGGCATTCGGGAAAGAAACCATCGAGCCCACCGACCATCGCCTTCATCTTTCTGAGGGAGGCGACAAGATCAGGAAGAGTGACAGGGCTTGAAAGCTTTGAACGAAGGAAGCAGTTGGGGCGTCCGCACCGAAAACATGTTTCCAATGTTCGCGAAGAGCCGATGCAATAGCAGGCCTATTAGCAAGGGTCCGACCATCACTGGACTGCAAAGTCTGCGGAGTACGGCAGGCACTTGTAACCCCAGCGGCAGCTCCTGAAACTGCGTGCGCACGATGCTTCCACTTTGCCAAGGACTGCTGCGCCGAGCGCGCAAGTGCACCAAGCCTTTTGGTAGCTAAGGACAAAGCGAGCCCCCAGCGACCATTCTCAGCAGCTTCCTGCTCATCAGGTGGAACACTGGTCTTCCTGATTTTGGCAACAAGCTGCGGGTTCACATGACCTTTCCAGCCTGACATGTGCCTCAGTAAGGCGCCGTAGCCCCCAAAGCACCCCCATGTCCCGAAAGCAGGTCGTGTATGGGGCCTTGGAGCTGGTTCTGGTTACCGTCTTAAGGCAAACAATCCAGTTGACACTAGTCAGGCATTGCATGTACATGTGAAGTTTCTCAAGAAATTCAGCGTAGGCACCCACCCGAACACCTCTGCGGCCTTTGCCATGACAAGCAAAGTGGCCCACCCAGGAAAGCTCCCTGCACAGGCCTGGACAAGTCAAGATGCGACGCAGTCTGGCAACCTAAGCTCGGCCAGTCTGGCTGCCTTAAGTTTGTCAGCGCGGGCCTTTCTCATCCTTGCACACACCTCACGCTTATCAAGGCCTTTCAGTCTCTGTTTTCGCTTGTCAGTCAACATCTGACCTGCATCCTTACGGCTCTGTGTCCACGTGCTCTTGCGCTTTTTCATGGAAACAAGCTTCCCTTTGAACGCACGGCAAACGCTGGGCACAAGCATGTTTCGGAGATACTTTTTGCGGCACAACCTACAATCATGCTCCGGAGCGAATTTCACCCTGTCCTTGCTGGAGCTTTGTCTCCAGGATACAGGCTCCAACGCAACCTCCGGCCAATAGCCCTTAGCTTCCAAGGTTTCCCACTGAATCTTCCAGCGGAGCTGCAAGGATACTTCCATATTTGTCAGGCGCTTCGCCCTGCAAGGAAAAGCCGCATCGCAAAGACTCAGACCTGATGCCGTGCACAGTCACTTCATGGGCATTGCGATTTTGGGAACCTTCCTATAATCCAAAGCCGCCACATAGGGGTGTGAACCTGGCCCAAAATCAACCTTGGTAGCCAAAAACAAGACCTCAGGGTCGACACTTTTAACCCCTCCAGCTTGCCACGGCTGCAAGAGCGTGCACAAATGCTCTGCAAGATTGCAGAGACGCAACCTGCCCACGCCCTATAGACTGCACTGCTAATGGCAATGGGTCGGACCTGGTCAAGTCTCGGGCAAGAGCAGTCATCTTTCGGCATGAAGACAAGTTTCCAATGGATAAGACTTTCCGGCCACCGCCCCGCCGACTCACACTCATCTAGGAGCACAACCAAAGGGTCCAGGGCTTCGTCCGGCAAGGGGCAAAGAAGTTCAGGAGAAAAGCCGTCCAAGCCTGCCGCGCAGTTTACTCAACGAGGCTCGGAGGTCCTCCCAACAAATAGGAGAGGAGAGGAGAGGGCACAGACCAATGCAGATACCGAGCGTATTTGGCTCTAAAACTCTGAACATTCTCTTCCGCAGGTTGGTCAGAACCGAAAATGTTCGACCGGTGTTTCTGCCGGGCTGCCAGGGCCTGTTGGAGTCACGCATACCAGCTTCATCCCGGAGAGTTTCTGCGCCCGGCGCTTTTAGTCCAGGAAGTAGCCCCCGTGCAAGGGACGAACTCTGTGCTTCCATGCCACGAGGCTGGGACTTTGTTCAAGGCTTTCAGCCGTTCGGTCGCTAAGGCTGGCGCGCAGCCCCACCTTCCTTGGGGATTGGCATGCTCTGAGCTTGGATTCCAAATTTTGGAAGAGATCCTGCGTTGCTTCGAAGAGAGGTCGCTGCCCCATCTGAAGGTGGGTCTGTCGCCTAGCACTGTGTCCAGCAGTCCTGGTGACCAGAAGAAACTTTGTGACCACACCCGCTGCACCGGGACCATGATTCTTTGAGAGGCAGAATCCCCGAAGCCAATACCTACGCGATTCCTTTCAATGGCATGAGCAGCGTGGGGAAGGGACTGTCCCCTTTTAAGCAAAGAGAGAAGCTCGTCCAAGCGCCTTCGTTCAAAGTCGGAGTCGAGCCTTAGGGGCTTTCAGTCTTTAGGGGTTAAGCTTCAGGCTCTAGAGTTTAGGGTTTAGGGTTTAGCAAATTCGGCTTTAGAGTTTAGGGTTTAGGGTTTAAGGAGTTTAAGGTTAAGTTTTTTCGGAAGACTGCTCTGGACTCCTGCGAAAGTGATTTCATAAAGGGTATAGAGCGCGCGGTAGGCAGTGCCATAGCGCATCCAGATCCATTGCCTCAGGGACAGGAGATGGGCGCAGTCATGTACAAACCCATTTAAAGGCCGAATCCCTAGGGTTTAGGGTTTAGGGTTTAGGGTTTAGGGTTTAGGGTTTAGGGTTTAGGGTCTAGGGTCTAGGGTCTAGGGTCTAGGGTTAGGGTTTAGGGTTTAGGATACACATAAAGCCGACAAAGCGGCCTTCACTTTCCAACATCTCGGCACTGAAGTGGGAAAACCGCCCGCCCACCGTGCTCTGGGCCTCTACCTTCGTGAGAAACCCTTGAACTTGAACCCCAAAACCCAAAACTTGAATCTTTCAAAGGGCCGATTTGAACCCTCAACCCTATGCTGGGTGCAAGGCCTACGCCTCCTTCTTTAATCCCGGAACTAAAACAAAGCCTGTGCTCGGCACGACACCCCCCCACACGAAACGCACAAAAGCACGCATGTGTCGCAAATGGCTTGGCTGTTGCTCAGCGCTCATCTCTGAAGTGCTGTTTGCTTCAATTCTGGCTGCGACGTGTTGCTCTCGCAGCTCATAAATCAGGAGGGACCATGATTCTCGTCGCACAGGGTTTTGGTGGCTTCAATAGGTGAATCGGTGGAATCGAGGGCTACCGACCGCGGAGCAAGATCGCGACATCAGAGGATGCTGTGCTAGAAGAGTTCGATATTGCGGACGAGCCAGCCAGGCACGGT